AATCAAGCTGATGAAGCGTCTCATCACAAGACTGACTGGATTCAAAAGCTATTTGAATCTGAGCTATAACGCAGGGATGTATTGTAAAGCAGCAGTTAGGTGGGAAATGAAGTGCAAGAACTTAATATGGCTTTTTTTAACTGCACAACCATGTGCCAAATTCTGTGATAGTTGTGTGCCAGACTTTTAAAAAATGAATTTACAAATTCTTTGCTTATATTCAACGGCTTTCTCATTAGTTGCGAAATAGTCCATTTGGATACCAAATTAGGAAACCATCTATGCAATGTTACTGAATTCACGTTCGTCAGTGTCATCTGATCTTCACTTCCTTACCTTCATCTTCAAATCACTGTCAAAAACTAAATGTGTTCAGACTGTGAACGCATTCGATCAGTTACACACAGACACATATATATACACACATAAATTAACAGTCACCTGAATGTGAGATCGGAAGTTTAAACAAGATAATTACAGTAATTACACCTCTGGCACTAAAGTACTGCCATATCTGCACACGCACGATTGCTCTATTGTTAAATATCAATCATTAGAAGAACCAGAACAAAGTTCAGCCCAATCCATAATAGAGTTTCTGTTAGATGGATGGAGACAGAGTGTGAATCATAGTCAGGTTCACGCCCACACATGGCTTTCATTTCAGTGCAAAAATAAACTCTTCCAAAGCATATCATCAGCCAAGAAAGCACATTGGTCATTGTATTGCTGGAGTTTCCTTCACAGACAGTATAAGACACTGTGAATCTGTGAATTAGAGGCTTACCTTTGGCGTTTTCGCGCACTTTCCGTTTCTGGCATCTTTTATGTATGCTATATCCAGAAGGTCTGTATCCTGTAACCAAGAAGAAGCACAGCTAAATCATCATAAATGTCAACCAATTTCAAATTTAAAGGCTTTAAAGGCTGTTTAGGACACATTTTATGCCCGTGGAAGCTACTTTGATTCAAGGTGATGGCACACATTTCAGAGACACTTTCCATTTTACAACCTGCCAGCTCTAAACAGTCACATGTGCTTAAGGACACACATTAACCTCAATATGGGATATCACCTGGGAGTCATTCAGTGTAGACAGATGCTGCCCTGATGACATTCTGCTCCACAAAAGTGTCTAATTAAAACAAAAGTGAAATGTTCCCATATTGACTGATGACCTGACTAAATGAGTACTAGCTCTTTACAAACATATATAAACACTCCATATTGTTTTTGGAGTGTTTCCTCATAAAATCTGACACAGGATTATCCAGAAATCCAAAAAGAGTTTTTATTTATTCATTTTTTACAACAGAAAATGTCATCATATGCATCATATTACTAAAAGATCTGCTGTCAAAGGGGGAAAAAAGGAGATAAGATGAAAAACTTCACACGTACACAACGTTCTGCTGCTGCATGGTGTTATGCCAGGGTCGGCAACCTGCGGCTCCGGAGCCGCATGTGGCTCTTTAGTCCTTATAGTGCGGCTCCGCGTGGTTTGGGAAAATAAATTAGAAGTATTTAGCTGAAGTGTATTTTATTTATGTTAGTTCTTTTT